CCCCCCCCCCCCCCCCCCCCGAAGGATAGGTCTAGCATAATACTGCAGTTATGAAATATAAACAGCAGTACAATACTTGTGTATCCTTAAACCATCTACATTTAATAATTCTATTTCTCGTTTTCCCAGGTTGGTTACAGCTTGCATAAAATAATGTCAAACTGTTAATGGTTTAGCTTATCCAAAAGAAAGGAAATAAATGAACCTTTAACTTTAGGAAGCATTATACAGTTTCCCTAAAAAATGCACAGAGCCTGTAGAATAAAAATAAGGACTTTTTTTCATTGCTCTTTTTGTCTCTGTTAGATGCCCCACTGTTTCTAGTTTTAGCTATTCCTTTTGAAAGCCTTGGCTTTTGTCCATAGAAGTCAGGCATTTACTTTTCTTTCTGTATTTAGTATTAGCCTACTCTGCTCCCACTGAAGACAATGGAACTGTATAACAAGTACTTTATTACAAACAATTAGGCTGTACAGTTAACCCAATACACAGAAAAAACATTTCATATATGCAACGTGACTGAGGTTTACCTGTGTAAAGGGAAATTGTGTATATGCAAGGAAACTCGCTTTCATTTCTCACTTCTCAGCATTTTAGCTCTCAAGTCTAAGCACTGCATTAACATAGTTTCTTTTATATCTAATCGTGTACTAGAGGATCACACAACAGAATGACAGTGTTGGATAGATCCACTGTTGATGGGCACAGCAGGGGCAGCTGGCCCATTTCTTCAGGCTCTCTGCCAATCTGTCTCATTCATCCCATCACCCATGTGCCCAGGCACGTCTTCCCAGTACAGTGCTGTGAATAACAGTCAGTGCAAAACACTACAGTGCTTAGGAATGGAAAGAAATTGCAGAACAAGACGGTTTGTGGTCAGACAATCAGAGGAACTTGCCACATCACTGCTGAGTAAAGCAGGGAGTGAATTATTGAAACATTGCTCTGTAGGTCCAGTTTATACTTTACACTGGAACATTTCTGGGAATGTATCCCCAAAAAGTATATTCATACGGGAGTAATCTATTGAACAGAAACAAAAACAATTTGTTTCTACAGAAACCGCTCTGAATAGAATGTAATAATTTCCAGTGAATCTTATAGATAAAACTCAACCATTAAATTCCATAAGAAAGTCCAGTTTTTGAGTGCAGTTCCTGAAAGAAAGGTGTATAGTGGGTCATATGTATAGTGGGTATAGTGTATGCCCTAAAGTACTTTACCTATGGCATAATTTGCTTGACACATTGGGTGATAACCTGGCTGTACGAAAGCCAATGGGGATGTCTCAGCCATCTATATCCCTCAGAGCAGGAACCTCAAATGGAATTATTCCAGTTTTACAAAGCAAGCAAGCGTAGGCTTAACCTTAAGTAAATAATTAACTACTGTTAAACCATAAACTTTACTGGGGATGGGTAACTGATAGGATTCTACAGAAATATAATTATAACTGAATTTGGTGGAATGAGATTTTTTTTTTTATGTTACTGTTGTTGAACCATTATATGGAATTCCACAGGAGGGAAGTAACTTTCTTTTCAAAAAATACATAACAAGCTATGAAGTCTTCTTAAATTACAGGAGGAAAAACATTCAGAAAGAGGAGACAAAGGCAGGCTGAAAAAGAAAAGTGATGGTCTAAAAAAGCGCATGAGTCTAAAAATGAATATCCCAGAGAGTGGTGGTGGATAGGTCATTTTCGACCTGGAGGCATGTGGGCAGTGGGGTCGCCCAGGGCTGGGTCCTTGGGCCCGCACTGTTCAACATCTTCATCAGTGACCTGGATGAAGGGGTGAAAAGCTCTTTGTTCAAATTTGCAGATGACACTAAGATGTGGGGAGAGGTGGGCATGCTAGAAGGGAGGGACAGGCTGCAATTGGATCTGGACAGGTTACAGAGGTGGGCGGATGAGAACAGGATGGGTTTCAACACTGACAAGTGCAGGGTCCTGCACCTAGGGAGAAAGAACCAGCAGCATACCTACAGTCTAGGGGACTCCCTTCTCATCAGCACAGAGGCAGAAAAAGATCCTGGAGTCATTATAGACTCCAAGATGAACATGGGCTGCCAATGTGGGGACACAGTCAGGAAGGCTAACCGCACTTTGTCATGCATCCACAGATGTATCACGAGTAGGTCCAAGGAGGTGATCCTCCCCATCTATGTGACATTGGTCAGGCTGCAGTTGGAGTACTGCATCCAGTTCTGGGTGCCGCATTTCAGGAGGGATGTGGATAACATCAAGAGGGTCCAGAGGGGGACCACTTGCATGATCAGGGGGCAGCAGGGCAGACCCTATGAGGAAAGGCTACGAGACCTGAACCTGTTCAGCCTCCACAAGAGAAGGCTGAGAGGGGATCTGGTGGCCGTCTACAAACTGGCCAAGGGAGACCAGCAGGCAATGGGAGAGTCCCTGTTGCCCCGAGCACTACTGGGAGTAACAAGGAACAACGGCCATAAGCTGATGGAGAGTAGATTCAAGCTAGATATCAGGAGGCACTACTTCACAGTCAGGGTGGCTAGGATCTGAAACCAACTTCCAAGGGAAGTGATGCTTGCCCCTACCCTGGGGTTTTTAAAAAGAGGCTAGATAGACATCTAGCCAGGGTCATCTGACCCCAGCATCCTTTCCTGCGCATGGCAGGGGGTCGGACTTGATGATCTGCTCAGGTCCCTTCCAGCCCTACCAACTATGAAACTATTCAAGATTATGTAGCTTTTTGCTTATGTGTATGTTATCAATGCATGGGACACAACATGGGACAGTTAAAACAACATGGGACAGCTCTGGTTAGCTGTGAATCTTATGAATTCATTACAGGGTGTAAACACTAACCAGGCAATGTTTGGGAAGCTGTAATAGTTCTTGTCTGCTTCACAACAGTGGCTAGTCCCAGAATCTGGGGGTTGAACATGCTCTGAAGTACAAGGGCGTATTCCAAACTGGAAATGAATCAGTGAGGCAGCTGTGGACTTGCCATTTTGTGCCTGCTTTCAAGTATTCAGTCTCTGGTGGGTCAGACAGCTGGATGTAGGGACAAGCCACGAGCAATTTCACCAAAGCATACTCAACAGGAATGCACCTGAGGAGTTGGCTGAGTGGGCCAGGGGAAGACATGCTCAAACCCCCTAAATCCAGGACCTGCTATTGCAGCCATACACCATAGTGCCAGAAACGCAGGGCCTCATTCATTGCAGTTAGAGCTAGAAGGCACTATGGGCATTTATACACATGCTCTTGGAGAGAGAGAGAGAGAGAGAGAGAGAGAGAGTGTGTGTGTGTGTGTGTGTGTGTGTTAATTAGAGCAGCTCCAAGATCCACTCTAAATGAAGCGATTAATCGAGTCTGCTCTGCCTTGCTGCAGGTGTATAAGCACCCTATTTACCTTTTCACCAACAATGTGGACTACAGTCCAGACAGACACATTCCTGCATATATCATATGTATGCTCCATGTGTCATGCAGTTAGCTCCTAGGGGAGCCTACATCATTACACTTTCCATATCAGAACCAACCAGTTTTAAAGGTGCAGTGAATTTTCAATCTAAACTCCAGCATGACCCCCTTTCATATTTCCCTGTGTTATATATGCAGCTCAGTGTCTAAGAGAAACTGGTCTTAAAACTGGCAGTTATGGGCATAGAAAGCAGAAAAAGTCTTTGCTGTGAATGATTATCTGTTACAGCTTTACTGGTAAAAATGGCAAATATAACAAAGCTAAAATGCAAACATAATATATCAGTAGTTCCAGTTCTGGAAACACAGAAGCAAAACATCATTACCAAAAGGACTCCTCATTGCTGTTTGTGGTAAAACATTAGTGTTCTGAGCATTTGGTTTTATAGGAACATTTGCTCCTTTTTAATCACTACTAAACAAAGGGGTCTGTTTCAGAGATGAACACACAATATTTAAAAAGCGTTTTCTGTTCTCCCAGCCTCCATTCATAGCAATAAACCAATCAACCTTGAAATGCCTCAAAATCAAGTGATATACTATAAGTGATAAAGCATTTGAGTTGAAATGTACAGTCTCATATTCTCTATATAGCATTTGACAGCACTGACACTGCAGTGAACAATATAGCATTTCAAAGGAATACTATTACATTTTAGCTGAAACCTCAATCTGAGTAGTAAGAGAAAAAATTTCCCTGAGTGTTCTTAAGATGAAACTAGCTAAGTTTATGAAAAAGATTATGTGATATAGGATCATAGGAAAGTAGGGCTTGAAGGATCTCACAAGGTCATCTAGTCCAACCCCTAGATCAATGCAGGATCATCCCTTATTAAACCAACTCATCCAAGTGTCTGTCCAACCTGCTCTTGAAAATTTCCAAGGATGGAGACTCCACAATTTCTCTGAGGCTAGGGACAGACATTATACATAAACCAGTTTAAGTGATCAGAAACTGGCTTAACCCTGTAACAGAACAGAAGTTCAGTGCATATAAACCAGTTTCAAAATGGCTGAAACTGGTTTGAGATAAACCTGGCTGAATGTAGTATCAGACATAACTGACTGAGCTCAAACTAGTTTATGTAAATTTTGTCCCAGACCCCTTCCTGGTTTAAGTTAAACCAGAGTCCCCCAGCATCCCAGCATGCTCTGCAGCCCTGGCCTGGGCTGTACTGTCTGCTCCAGTGGAGC